AGGCTCCAGAGTGATCATGAAGCTTTTATCTGAACTTTTGAATCTCAGTTTTGTGTAGTGCAATTCGACATGTTAGCAGGTAATACAGAACGTGCTAATTGTTTTGCTATGCTGTATCTAGAATGTCGGTTGAAGTAGTGGTGTGGAGTAGTTTCCATCAAACAGAGTGGTGGTATTTTCTTTTATATTATCATTATTAATTATAACATTATCTTGAGTATGCATAACTTCAAACAATACTTTACAGTTAAACGGAAAAATATCAGTATTGACTTGATGGGTAGTGATCTACCTATTCAAAAATCCGGATAATTGTACCTGGTTCAGATATAATGGCTGAATCCCAATACTATGAAGTTCTGAAACAAGACGAAAAAAGTTCTGAACAGCAGTATTTCTCCAATGTTGAGGATCAAACAGTGCAGTATGTGATTACACCCAACAAGACTCAAACCCAGTTCCCAACACAACAGGTGAGACTTGAGTTTAAAATACTATACAAAATCAATCCATTAAATACTCTCAGATTTTAAACTTCAAATTATGTCTGAAATTAAATTGATTATGACATTTTTTCATTTATACTTTGATTTGAAATAATCAGAATTTATTATTGTTAATATTATTATTTTCCCTCATTCTTTGATGTCATAAATAATTTTGCTTCATTAGATTGTAGTTGCTAGAGGAGATCAGTTGATGCTACTGAATGGTCAGCCACAACAAATTGTTATTGATCAGTCTGTGATTCCTTATCCTACCAACGAAATACAACTACAGGTATTTGGATACAAGGCTTTGGAATTTATGCATTTTGTCTTAGATGTATTTACTAACATTGGTTAGTGGTTTTCACTTCAACAATATGGATATTTCAATCTTGCTTGAGTCAGAAGAGCTAGACTAGTTTGAATATGTTACAAAACATAAAACACCAGCTGACTATAATGCCAAGAATGTCCTTATTCAAAAGTGGAAATCATTCATCATTATATTTTTGTGCCATGAGTGTAGTGAATTGAAGTGTTGCTTGATTCTAATATTCATTCTGAATTCTTTCTTCAATTACCTATACCATAGATTAAGGAGTTAATCTATGCCTATACATGATGTGTGACTTACTTTAATTGAAATCATCCCTATTCATTTTATCTTAGCAACTAATACAATTGCATGCTAATGGTGTACCTTGAAAATGGATTTTAAGTCTTGAAACTGTAAAAACATTGTTGAGTTGGATGTGAAATTGAGAATGTATTGTAGTAGTTTCATTTGAGCTGGGCCACACATACATTTAGGTAATATCATTTCAACCCAGGTGAGGTGAAAAAAAAAAAAAGAATGCAATAATATTATATATTATTATATTGTATTAGAAAATATTAAATGGCTTTGAATGTAAATTCAAACTGAGCAAGAATCACAGAGGGTGTTTGATTTGGATCATCATTTTTTATCCTAATTATTGATTCATTGAAATGTGTGTGGAACTGGATAAATAGGTATAATTTTTTTTTATAATCATAAATAATGCATTTTGCAATGAAATAAACTGTAATATCATCAATATCTACTATCAATGTATCTACAATATAATCAATTTTTCACTAAGGCACATAACATATGAAAGTTAAATTGTGTTACTGAAAAAGTAGGGGGTTAGTCAAAATAAAGACATGGCATGTTATGGCAACATGGGGTATATTGTTATTTATATCCTTGAGTAGTTCTTGAGTTGACAAGGTGACAAAAGCTCTCTCAGTTTTCAAATCCAAATTATTTGTCAAAAAGCTCAAATTTCTGTTTTGACAATACATAGTGTAAGTTATCTCCAACATGAAATTATTGAATGCTTGTAAACATTGTGAGTATTGAAATATATTCTGGACAAGGGAACAATTTGTTGAAATTTAGTGTTTTACTTTTTTGGACAATGAAATTGTTTTAATGCATTATGGATTTAGTTATTTTCTATTTTGTTCACATTCTGGATCATTTCCTTTTTGTTTGTGAATGTTTATCAGAATGTTGGCTTACAAACTGGGAATACAACTATTATATTGTGACTTTCCTATACTCTTGAAAACTAAAATCCTATCAGTGTAATTCTTTGGTGAGGATCTTAGAAATCACTAGTTTTCAAAATTCAATTTGTGGTATGATGATATTTTTTTGTGGTCATATTAATGTCACAATTTGCCATTGAACACTGTTGATACACTGCTTACTCTATAGTATATATACTCTTACTGTCCTAAAATAATTGTTTTCTTGGTTTATAGTAGTCTGTAGATCCATAACAGTCGAAAGATAATATCCGATGGACCAGTGTGAAACTCATGTGCTCAAATTACAATTATTCTAATCCGCACATGTTGAGTTTTACACTGGTCCATCGGATATTATCTTTGGAGGGGGGCGAAATATTCTGGGAAGTATTGACGCTCTGCCACTAATTTAGATCAGTTTGATTCGCGGCACGTTTGGATATTCTCAAAGGCGACATCACCCCCTTTCATTTGCTTCTTGTTTAAACTCGTTAACACATGACGGAAGTATGTCCGGAATAATAGCAGCAAATAAATCGCTGTGCTGTGGATTTGGCTCAAACTGAAGTATGTATCGGATGGCATTTATCAAATCGCGAAATCAAATGCGAATTTCCACACAGGAAAGTGCACTTTTTCAATCATTTTGCTCAGTATAATGAATGGCACAGGTGCTGTTCGATAAACTACAATTTTTTCACATGCCTTCCATAAATTATATCATTTCCTTATCAGTATTCGCACAATTTTCGATTCACCCAAGTTTTGATTCGTTCGCCATCTCCGAATATACCCGAACGATGCGATATTGCCAAATCTGGATGAACATCATTCTTATTATTATTGAATATTTAAATTTTTTGATACACATAATATGAATGTTAGGTACATATTTCGATTTGCCTAATTTTTGATTCACCCAATTTCCGATTTGGCGAATTTGGCGAATCGAAAGTTGGGTGAAACAAAATGTTGGCCCAACGACATATTTGAATGTGAAATGATTGTTGATAATTCCCGTTTCATTGAATCCGAGGAAATGTGGCATTACTTGACAACAACGCATCTTTCGGGTACGTTCGGAGACGGTGAGTGAATCGAAAATCAGGTGAAACAAAAATTGGGTGAATGGAAAATTGGGCGGATCGAAGATTGGGTCAAACGAGATGTTTCCGAAATTTGCAGCCGGCTCTTGGAATATTAGAAAATTAGAAATTTTACAATAATTGCTTTTCACATCTCAAGAATAACATAATAAGCTATCCCAACTACCATATTGAGAAACATTACTGACTGTTTATAAAATGTTTGATAACCAACAGAAATAATTGATAGATATTATGTACTCTGATAGGTACTTTGAATACAAGAATTTGATTCAGTTATTGAAATGAAAATTTCAATTTCAATTGTTCATGAGTACCTACAATTAAGTAGGTTACCTTCAGTTAAATGCCGTCTGTCATGTTCACCTATAATAACTGTAGCAAAATAAGATTTAGGTCTTACAGATTTCCATGTTATTTGATACTTTATGATTGGGGCATCAATGTTTTTGTTGTTATTGAATGTAGATCATTCTGTGGATCTTTGAATATAATGCAATATGTTGAATAATACCTAATGACTTTGTTGTTGTATAAAGTTTGTAGATTTATAATTTGTTCATTATTTTGTAGTATATGTTGAAAATATGTAATGCCAAAGCATTTTATTAAATTATACATTTCTTCAAAGAAATTTATGTTTCCCTAATATGTGATATGTTTTCTAATTCGAAATATCAGTAAATACAAACAGGTTTCAAATCTGGGATACCAAAGGTAATGACCATACAAGTTGGACACACAAAATGTGTTGTTTTTGAAATGAATATATTTTGAATATATGAATATCTTTGGAATGCCAGATATCAGTAGATAATGAATATTTTGATACAAATATTAAGTCCAATACCATACTTTTTGTTTCACATACATTTTTGAAATATTCAATTTTGTATTCAATAATTTCAATATGCTACTAAAGTCATATTTATACTAGCTGTGTAGTTGTAAAAACATCTACCCATGGTGAAATACAGTGGTTAATGTTCTTGGAGACAATAAATGATTCTATTTCCAAAAAGAATGTGTTTTTTTATTTTCCTATAATTATAAACACTTGAATGTCAACATTGAAAACTACACACAACCATTTTATCAAACATAATATTATAAAATGTTTGAAATTGTAAATTGGTTTTGGGAATTTATACATGGTGATTCAAGTATTGTACACAGAGGAATGGTAAGAATCCTGACATCAAATAAGGTGAATTGGTCAATGGCCCCATTAAAATGTAGATGGTTGTTGCTGATTCACAGTTGAAATATTTTGTAATATCACAGAACCTCTGCTTCACTGGTATTCATAAAACTTTGGCAATGGACATTTTTCAAGGTGGCAAAATGTTGCACCATCAAGTTGTCTTTTATATCCTAACTAATATCTCCAAATCTGCTTCATTCAACATAAACATGGTCCTAGAATATCCCTCAGCAATAATTCACCTCCTGATTCATTTATATAAAATATTCTAACTTTATCACCCTTTGTATTTTTGACCACAAACTTGTTAGGGGTACTTACTCAAAATTAGCCAATCATCATTATTTTATGAAAGGATCCTCCATTCAATCAATGCTCTGTGTACAATTTAATGTGAATCAATATGTATAATTCTGGTGAAATTACAACTTACTAAGGAATGTATAATAAAAAACATTTTTTTTACTATGGACCTACATAAATAGTATATCAAGTAGTATATACCAAAAATAATACAGATTGCTAGTAATAAGGACCTACATGATTTTTCATCATTTTGTACAAAATAAAATTTGGGTGAGTGACCTCATGAGTATGTATACTAGAGAATGAAGAGAAAAACACTAGAGAAATATTGACCTACTATTCACTATGCTCATCATCCTCAATATCTCCGAAGTAAAGTCCATTATTCACCATAGGCTTCCCATCCCCTTTCAAATGTTTGGCCTTAAACCTAGCATACCTTTCACCATATAAATGAACATCAGGCTCAGTTTCTGATCCAGAACAGTCATTTTCTGAGTCATCATGACAGTAAACAAAATCATCACCATCATCACTAGAAAGTAGATCATTCTCCATTCCCATATTTTCCATTGCTTCTACCATATCCTTCTCATCAACAGACTCCATATCTGATTCATCAGGGTAATCATTCTTCCAATTGCATTCTGCATTGGAATCTTCACTATCCTGATCAGAATCAAGAACACCCGTGTCCACACTTGAACCAGCTGGTAAAAATTCCATCAGGTGTTGGACACTATGGTAATCCTCAATTTCTGGAAAGTCATCTGAGCAAGTGTAATATAAATCATAAACATATTTGCTTTGTTGGACATTCTGATCTGCTTCACTAGCCTCATTCTTGTTGATGTCAGTCTCCACATCAAGGACTGTTATTTCATACTTAGATTCACTTGTATCAGGAGTCTCAGATAAATTGATAGAGGACCGGAAACGATTCACTATCTTAAAACGATTGCTTTTAGAGTTATCTTGATGTTCATTTCTCAGTTTTTCATTCAGGCTCACTACATGTTTCTTGAATTTTGTTTTCAATTCCTCTACTCCATCTAAGTACTTTGTTTTCAAATGAGGCAGAATGTCATCTTCCTGAAATGAATATTATGTTCTATTTGATTTCCAAAAGAAAGGTCAAAAAGATCATTCTTACTTTTTGTAAGGTTCCAGCAAATTTGAGAACTGTGGATGAGAGCTGTAGACCATCTTCAATGCTTTCACTTTTACTTTCTAGCTTCCTTCGTTTGCAGTTCAATATCAAAGCATCTAGAGGATCTTCATTCAAAGGCCTTTTTATCCTGACAACAGCGGTCATCTTTATTTCGGATTTTATCAATTTTCAGGTTATATTGTTGTTTTCTGTTGCTGAATTCATAACACTTAACAATCACTAGACAGTGACATTACGATCTCTGCAAGTTTCTGAATGTTCTGTGCATATATGTACTACTCTTATGAAGCATAGCTCCCAATCGACCAATAGGCGCTGATGCCGACTAGAGCCCCTGTATATACCTCAGATAAGAGTCCAGACACAGCTATACTTCTGTCCTTTTCTGTTTTCAAAAAATGTATTGATGATTGAATAAAGGAATAAGACATATATATCGAGCTCTGTCTTTTCAATTCCCCTAGTATCAGTGATTGTCAGAAAGAATTTTGAGGGTTAAATTATTTGTCAAACCGTTCATAGCCGTAGGTAGAAGTGGGAAATAGGGCTATTTTAACTATAATAACTATTGAATATTAATAATAACTTGAATCCCTTTTCTAATGAATTGACGCAATAATGTTCGCAGCAGGAAATTGAAATAATTTAAAATGCTAAATTTTGGCGGTCATAGAATTTCAAAGTGACAGTGACAGAAATTCGAAATAATTAAAAAAAGCGGGCGGGACGACTATGGTGTTTCGTCACATTGTCAGGTGGACAAACCAAATGAAACAAAATATTGAAAACCCCAACAGCTGTCAGTTTTCTGTCCGGACTCTTGTCTAAGGTATATACAGGGACTCTAATGCCGACGTAGGAAAAAAGTAATACGAAACTACGAAAGTTGTCGAACCAATATGGCTGTTTCCATCCTTGACTTTCTGTCCTTATAGATTCAAAACGTACCTCTCATTTTGCATTTTGGTCCCATTTTTGTTGAGATATCGTATAGGCGATGCGCCATATATAGAAATAGTACATAATAATATATGGTTTTGTGCTTGTGTTCGGTGTTCATGGAAATTTGATATTTGACTCATAAGTGAAATCATGAATGACATGTGACGTATTGACATTCAGACATTCATAGTTCTGTGGATCTTCGACATCTTACGTCTTGACTTGATCTTGCATTGTGGCCGTATCACTATAAACATTTTTTATTTTTTTTATTGTATTTTATAACAATTTATTCAGGCTCCAGAGTGATCATGAAGCTTTTATCTGAACTTTTGAATCTCAGTTTTGTGTAGTGCAATTCGACATGTTAGCAGGTAATACAGAACGTGCTAATTGTTTTGCTATGCTGTATCTAGAATGTCGGTTGAAGTAGTGGTGTGGAGTAGTTTCCATCAAACAGAGTGGTGGTATTTTCTTTTATATTATCATTATTAATTATAACATTATCTTGAGTATGCATAACTTCAAACAATACTTTACAGTTAAACGGAAAAATATCAGTATTGACTTGATGGGTAGTGATCTACCTATTCAAAAATCCGGATAATTGTACCTGGTTCAGATATAATGGCTGAATCCCAATACTATGAAGTTCTGAAACAAGACGAAAAAAGTTCTGAACAGCAGTATTTCTCCAATGTTGAGGATCAAACAGTGCAGTATGTGATTACACCCAACAAGACTCAAACCCAGTTCCCAACACAACAGGTGAGACTTGAGTTTAAAATACTATACAAAATCAATCCATTAAATACTCTCAGATTTTAAACTTCAAATTATGTCTGAAATTAAATTGATTATGACATTTTTTCATTTATACTTTGATTTGAAATAATCAGAATTTATTATTGTTAATATTATTATTTTCCCTCATTCTTTGATGTCATAAATAATTTTGCTTCATTAGATTGTAGTTGCTAGAGGAGATCAGTTGATGCTACTGAATGGTCAGCCACAACAAATTGTTATTGATCAGTCTGTGATTCCTTATCCTACCAACGAAATACAACTACAGGTATTTGGATACAAGGCTTTGGAATTTATGCATTTTGTCTTAGATGTATTTACTAACATTGGTTAGTGGTTTTCACTTCAACAATATGGATATTTCAATCTTGCTTGAGTCAGAAGAGCTAGACTAGTTTGAATATGTTACAAAACATAAAACACCAGCTGACTATAATGCCAAGAATGTCCTTATTCAAAAGTGGAAATCATTCATCATTATATTTTTGTGCCATGAGTGTAGTGAATTGAAGTGTTGCTTGATTCTAATATTCATTCTGAATTCTTTCTTCAATTACCTATACCATAGATTAAGGAGTTAATCTATGCCTATACATGATGTGTGACTTACTTTAATTGAAATCATCCCTATTCATTTTATCTTAGCAACTAATACAATTGCATGCTAATGGTGTACCTTGAAAATGGATTTTAAGTCTTGAAACTGTAAAAACATTGTTGAGTTGGATGTGAAATTGAGAATGTATTGTAGTAGTTTCATTTGAGCTGGGCCACACATACATTTAGGTAATATCATTTCAACCCAGGTGAGGTGAAAAAAAAAAAAAGAATGCAATAATATTATATATTATTATATTGTATTAGAAAATATTAAATGGCTTTGAATGTAAATTCAAACTGAGCAAGAATCACAGAGGGTGTTTGATTTGGATCATCATTTTTTATCCTAATTATTGATTCATTGAAATGTGTGTGGAACTGGATAAATAGGTATAATTTTTTTTTATAATCATAAATAATGCATTTTGCAATGAAATAAACTGTAATATCATCAATATCTACTATCAATGTATCTACAATATAATCAATTTTTCACTAAGGCACATAACATATGAAAGTTAAATTGTGTTACTGAAAAAGTAGGGGGTTAGTCAAAATAAAGACATGGCATGTTATGGCAACATGGGGTATATTGTTATTTATATCCTTGAGTAGTTCTTGAGTTGACAAGGTGACAAAAGCTCTCTCAGTTTTCAAATCCAAATTATTTGTCAAAAAGCTCAAATTTCTGTTTTGACAATACATAGTGTAAGTTATCTCCAACATGAAATTATTGAATGCTTGTAAACATTGTGAGTATTGAAATATATTCTGGACAAGGGAACAATTTGTTGAAATTTAGTGTTTTACTTTTTTGGACAATGAAATTGTTTTAATGCATTATGGATTTAGTTATTTTCTATTTTGTTCACATTCTGGATCATTTCCTTTTTGTTTGTGAATGTTTATCAGAATGTTGGCTTACAAACTGGGAATACAACTATTATATTGTGACTTTCCTATACTCTTGAAAACTAAAATCCTATCAGTGTAATTCTTTGGTGAGGATCTTAGAAATCACTAGTTTTCAAAATTCAATTTGTGGTATGATGATATTTTTTTGTGGTCATATTAATGTCACAATTTGCCATTGAACACTGTTGATACACTGCTTACTCTATAGTATATATACTCTTACTGTCCTAAAATAATTGTTTTCTTGGTTTATAGTAGTCTGTAGATCCTAGGTATTTTTTACATGTTCAGCTGTTTTTCATCAAAATATGATAACATCATGCTGTTAGGATCCACTGAAACCAAAAACTTCAGTTCCTACTGAAAGTATTTCAAATAACAGTGTATTTTGGCACAAAATGTTTCAGTAGTTAATGTCCAATATTTTTATTATACTGTATTTATAATTTCAAAATGAAGAAGTCATTGCATGGGAATCTTTTGCTGAAATAAGTAGGTATCTAGGTATGTTTAAACACTAAATTCAAAAAGTAAAATAACAATATCTGGATATTTGATAAATTGAGAATGTCACATACCATTCTGATATATTTGGAGGAGAAATATTTCTCAACAACTATATCTTCATTTAGTTTCACAAATGGGCTTATATCACAAAAAAATTTATTCCATAATTCGATAGAACTCACCCAAACTAGCTCACCACAGCAAACCGTTTATCGCTGTGAGCTCCCTACGTTTTATAAAAAATTATTGAAATCCCCGATTTTTCGGACCTCTGAAAACGAGGCGATGATGTGACGTCAAAACCCTAATACTGAAACAGGACTATTCCAGACAGAGATGAATGATACATGTTTTCTGGCAGAGTGAATTAGCGCGAGATCACAGTTGAAAGAATTAATATATCAGTTGCCTCAGTCTCCGTCCGGCGTTTGGTATTTTCTTTTAACTATGGCGAGATGAGGTTTCTACGTCATAAGAGGGTCCGTTTTCAGATGGTACTATTATTTATGTCCAAAAATTGAACATTCCAGTAAATTTTTCGATCGAATTATGTCGTCAATCATTATTTATGTATGAAAGGATCATTATAAACATGGTTTGAGTTGAAAGTTCTACCAAGGTGTACACGCCCATTGTCTTGAGTGTTAATTTGGTTCATGTTTCTCTAACCTATCAAATGACTTTGGAGAATAAAAGTGTGTTTCTCACCATGTCCAGGCATATAAAAAATCGGGTTGGTTAGTGGTAAAACAGTGTAGTGTACAGTTATAGTAGTTTACAAAGTGTGACAAGTCACTTTACGCACTTGTAAGGTACACTATTTTTTCTTCTGGCGTGCGGAAAAGTGTTAACATGAAGAAACATTTATTATTGAATGCTTTTATGAAGATAAATTTTGTCAGGTGCTTCATTTATAAACTGGAATATTTGTTCTTTCAAGAAAATTTTTGCATTTTTTTGGGCTAAATCCAATATTTTGTTTTTTTATATATGCCGTGACCTTAAAAAACTTGCTCAAATCGAAGTTTTTTTTTAGTTTGATTACACTTTTTAACATTGGGTACCTGGACCAAAGAGTGTTTAGCTTGCATGTTTTGGAAATTTCAGCGAAATAAGGGTCTTCTTTGAAACTTTTGATTCCCTCTTATTCTGGCACCAGTTTTCAAACAAATTATATTCCTTTTCATACCTGTGACGGGATTTTGCTGGTAGTAGATCCAAGTTTGCAGTTCTAGCCGCTTCCGTGCCGAAAAAACTTTTTTCCGCACAGTGCGGAAAAGTGACTTACAACACTGAAATGAGTCCGGAAAAGTGAACTTTTCCGGATGCTAGTAGAAAAAATAATTCATGTACTTATAATCCAGCTACTGGTAGCATAGCTTGTGATGGACAAGTTGTCAGAAGTGCCTAAATATATCGAACCATTCCCATCACGTAATATGTTGGGATTGGTGTTTTTCGCAATAAAATTGTGGAGGCTGAGTTTGGCCAGGGAGTTTTATTCTGGTCCTCTAATAGCATGGCGTCAGTCCACTGTGAGCATTTGTTTAGTGATTTAGGCTTTCAAGGATGTTTCCTTCCTCTGGAGACCCCGAGAGTTTCGTTAATCATAAGTTTTTCTACGAGCGAATGCGCATGCGTCCATATTGTATCACGTGGTTTACTGTGACCGAACTGACAATGAGGTTCTGTAATGGTTCGAAAACTTTAGGCTCTTGTAAGTTGTCGATCACTGATTAAACATATTCGCTGGCTGCTGTATCATAGGTTTATTAATTTACCAGTTTTAGTTGGCATAGGTATTATAGAAAATAGATATTGGCTACAAAAGGTATCGATTTAGCTTGAAACACCTAGGAAAACTGGAGGGATATTTCAGAAAACAAATAAGAGTGGGCCATTGAAAACGAAACAGCGGCTCTGTAGGTCGGCAAAATCGGATTATGAAAAAAGTCTGAAACACGTCAACTACATTTTCGAGGGGGACATCGTTCTAAAATATTTTCAGCCCTGCGGCGTTGCCGCTTCTGACGAAAAGAAGCAACAACTTTGTTATTTCAAATGGAATACCTTGTATTTCATTGCATTTTTACTTTCTCCCCGAAGAGCTGATTTCATCGATGCATCACACGTGGGGTCTAGCTGGAATGATTTCAGGGATATAGGGTGTTCAAAATCGAGATTTTTCAACTGTTTTTGTGTCGAAACTATTCATTATTGGTCAAAACGGCTTTCATGTCATCTCAACTTTTGATTTACTATCTACTGACATTTAATTGCAACAGATACAGGGTGATCAGAAGTCTGAATCTTGAACCACCACTACAGAGCCAGTGTTTCGTTTTCAATGGCCCATTCTGTATAACAAAACAAACAGAATTATATGCCTCAAATACATTTTGATCATTTCTATCTGGAGTCAACCAACCTACCCTGTATAATACTGTCATATTTCCCGCAGCCCAGACAGCAAATCAAACAAGTGATGCGCCTAACCAACCCCATCCAACAGCTCCCCACCAACCAAATCCAACTCCGCGCCACCGTGCCCCAAGCAATCCCCTCCCAGCCTCCGATGCGCTCCCCCAATCCCAACCAAATCCCCAGGCCGCCAGCTGCCGCCCAGCAGCTGCTCTTGCGCCAGCACTTGCCCGCCTCTAGGGCGGCCACCTTGGGCGGTCCTCGGACAGTAGGCGTGACCAGCGCTGCCCAGCAGATCGCCTCGGGCGGTCCTAGGTCCGTAGGCGTGGCCAGCGCTGGCCAGCAGATCACCTCGGGCGGTCCGAGGTCGGTAGGCGTGGCCTCGGGCGGTCCTAGGTCGGTAGGCGTGGCCAGCGCTGCGCAGCAGATGAGACAGTTGAACGCCGGGGTGGTGAGGCAACCGGCGGCCGGGCAGCAGATCAGACTGACCACGCTGAGCGGGCAGCTGAGGCAGCAAGCGCCGAGAGGACAGCCGAGGTTCCAGGGAATGCAGCAGCTGCAGAAAGCCAAGAGCCAGGGGGACATGGATGATATGGAAACTGTGAGTACAAACTGAAAAAAAATATGGAGGATTTTTTTTTCTGATTTTCTGAGGATTAACCCTCGACTACTAATGTACCAAAACTGTTATGTTGTCACAAACCATACGTCTCATAGACGGCTATTAATCTATATATTATTTCTAATTATTTCAGTTTTTTTCGTCAAGTATTCAAATAGGTCCTCCATATACAGAGAAGTACACAAAAAAATGACCAGAACTGTAACTGACTTGACGAAACAAGTGTTGTTTGACAGAGAAAGAAGTTTTGTTCTTGTGAAGTCACACCCATTAAACATATGGAAACTTCGAACGCAAATATCTTTGTAATCGTTTGAAATAACCCTATCAAACCTGGTATGGTTGAATTCATCAAGACAATCCCTAACCGATTATGTAATACAATACAGGTTGTCCCATTTGAAAATCAAAAGTTGGGTTCGTTTCCGGTTAAACTGGAAGTGATAGAAGAACAATTGTTTCATCAATTAATTTGGTATACTTACTACCCACCATTTTTCAAAACCCTATCTAGAATTATTCAAAAGTTACAATGCTGGTCTTTTTTGTGCACTTCTCTGTATTTGGATAACTGATAATGTTGTTTAAATGGTATGCAAATGTAAATTCAAAGTGAACATCAACATTTTATAGAGGAATATTTAATATTCAGCATTTTGACATGATTTATTGAACTATTGAAAATAATCCACATGATAAATTGATCCATGAATTTGTTACTACTCTGGATTACAATAAGAGTGGAAATAAAACAGCAAAAAACTACGTCAAAAACATAAAAACTGAAAAAAATTCAAATGTGTCTAGGAGATTGCATCGCCATTTCACTCAAGATATTTTGAAAACTCGACAACAACGTTTATTAACTTCAGATTTTTGAATGAGTGCTGTGTGGTAATAAACTACCTGGAAAGAAGATGGAAAATATTGATAGGGTGATCCGTTGATGATGATTAAAACTTCAAAGTATGCATACTTATCAGGCTTGTTTTAGTTTATATCAGAACAGTTTTGAAACAATTTTCTGCGCATGTGCAGTTGCGTATTTCTACTGTTAAAATACTTTGTGCATAAGCAGAATCTTCTTGAAACATTCAGAAACGGTTCTGAGACAAATCAAACAAAATAAATGGATTATAATTAGACCATACTTCAATTTAGTTGATGTCTCTCTAACTTCTTTCCAAATATCAAACTTTATAAAAATAGGGTACTAATCCAAGAGTGATAAACTAATGTTTTGGAATCATTCTTTGGAAAGAAATTAGTTGAAATCCTTGGATTATCGAAAATGATGAGACAACTGTGGGATCTATTCTAATGAAATATAGAGTGTGTTTCATGATTATCATCCAATACTTTGGCAGGCAATATCATGAAAAATAAATTAGGTAGGTACTCTATTGAAATCATATAGGATATTACATTTTTTAGTAAATTTGATTTGAACAAAATCACATGCAATGAAATGATGAAAATGCATAATAAAATTCAATAAAATCAACAAGAATACCTTTCTTGTGTCAAATATTGTATAGTTCCATAATTTGCTACTAAAATCTACAAGATCCATCTAAAGAAGTTGAGGTGGTTTTAACCCTACCCCTCTACATTGTATCCACCCCTAAATAAAATTTTGGCATTAGTGTTAACACAACAACAACAACCATGAAAAGGTAAGTAAATTCTCAAAATGTCATTCTTATGTATTGAACCGTTTCGGAATTGAATTGAAACCATCTTCAGGGATATACTTTCAAAAGGCTGTAGTTTCTTTAGGAATCATTTTCAACCCATGTTTGTTGGAACTTATTTCCTAATCTTTGGTCGTGAAATCAACTGGCCGAGTATTGAACGCTACTTATGAGTCACCCTGTATAATTCGTAAAATATTCAAGAACAAGCCCACGTCCGATGCAGAGGTTAGACATGATGACGTCACCCAAACTTAGCTATCCTGGTACAAATCCAGGGTGTCGCGTCAATTGGACGTGGAAAATTGGACGCACGACTATTGGTCGCAGTCAATTGGACGCGGCGACAATTGGACGCGGCGTCAATTGGACGCGGCGTCAATTCGACGCGGCGACAATTCGACGCGGCGACAATTGGACGCATGCGTACATAAAAATAATTTTATAATTCCAATGAAATTCATTGTATAAAATATGAAATACTGATGGGCTTATGTCCATAATTATAACAAATACCTATGGCCTCGTTTGACAATTATTTTCCTATCTCATATCGTAATATGAATTTACGATACGAATATAGTACAATATTTTACCTACTACCAAAAACGCTGATTATTTAATCAAATATGAGGGTTGGGCGTATACATACTTGTCGTGAATCTATTGTGTACTCGTTTTTATTAATAAATATGAAGGTTAGGTTAGGTTAGGTAGGTTAGGTTAGGTATTTGTTATATTATAGATATGAGCCCTGCATATTCCATGCAATAAATTTCATTGGAATTATAAAATTATTTTTATTTTCGCATGCGCTCAATTGTCGCCGCGTCCAATTTTCGTTGCGTCCAATTGTCGCCGCGTCCAATTGTCGCCGCGTCCAATTATCCGCGTCCAATTTTCGTGCGTCCAATTTTCGTGCGTCCAATTGACCACGTCCAATTGTCGGTAATCCCAAATCCAGAATATTCAAACGGACTTTCTCAAAAATCTTGATGGATTGTAGTTGTTCTCAAGTATAGTTGTGGAGAAATTATAGATGGTGTAATTTCATTGGCATATGGGCATATGTTCATATCATATCAACCATATCCTATCATCAAATAAGTTACACCCTGTATAGTATGCAGATATATGTCAGAGAAAGATGTATCAGGGGAAACTAATCATACCTCTACATTAAAAGTCTCACATAAGTGGTTCAAAGATTTCAAAATATGCAGAGGAAATATATTTTCATCATGTGATTTTATCAATTTTACAGGGTATTCTTCATGTTTTCTTACATTTATACACGTAACGATATTTTAATTTCGCCAGTCAGTAATTTCATGAAAGAAGAGGGCACGGAAGACATGCCATTTTTTTCATAAAAGGTACTAATAAAAAAAATTTCTTGAAAAGAAATGAATCCCTAGTGGTTTTTGCCTAGATGTATTGATAACAAAATGAATCATTTTTATTGATACAAAAAGGAGGACCAGTTAAACTGAAACCAGTTTGAGCAGCGATAAAATGTCCGTAAACAAAGCAGAATATAGCAACTTGAAATATTTTCATTTATTATGGAACTTTCATGATTCATATCCTGACTTTCTGTATTTGACATATCTGAAATAAGAAATAAATGAAATAATTTGGAAATAATGGATACAAAATTTGGGATAATATGCATAATTTTGACATATGCACATAATTCTGTCTCATACATGTTTCAATTTCTTCTAGAAATCAGCAGTTGAACAAGAAACTGTTAGTTTGCCAGATGGTTCAATTGTTACAGTGGGGACATATAAAAAAATGTTAGCTGAACAAAAAGCAAGAAATAACATTGCTCAAAGGTAAGAAAACTTCCAATATGGCACTGTTCATGATATTTAAAGTAGTTGATTTGGTATTGATACTTATCCGAACTTATACTGAACAATAATCTATGAAAATTAAAAAATATTGTATTGTTTAGTGTTTAGTCCATGAGCCCCATGAGGCATGTAAAAACATTGTATTTTATTGAACGGCACCAGTGCCAATCCTTCATCCTGCGCAAAATAATTGAAGAATTGCACTTTCTCAAAAACCAAATCAGGCTTTTGAGATCTACATTTCAATTGGTATCAGATGGCATAATTATTATATCGTTATCAAATCGCGAAATTGAGTGCATATTACCGCACAGGAAATTGCCAGTTTTCGACCATTTTGCTCAGGTTAGTGATTGGCACAGGTGCCGTTCAATAAAACACAATGTTTTTACATGTCGTTGGTACATAAAACACCGAACTTGAAAGGTCAATCAGGGTCAAGAGTCAAAGTCGGTGTTATCGATAATTCAGACGAGCTTCTTAAGGTATGTTCATGCTTGTACAAATTCCGCAAAATTTATGCGAATAAAATGGCGACTGCGAATATCGCAATGAAGTTTAAATATTTGAACTTTTTTCCGAATTCGGATGGAATCATAACCACACAGTAGGCACAAAATGTCTTGTCATTTTGATATAAAAATTTGGGAGTGGACACCAGTGGCCGTAAAAAGACGGGACTCGACACTCTATACTACAGGTAAGTACACAAAATCATAAATATAAATTCATTACTTCATTTCATTCAATTTTCTTCGCAGGATGGATTCTCTGGACGAATTAATTTTAAAGTATCATTTGTATCGTCTCTATATAGAGCTAAGAGTATGTGTCCAGGCAAAAAAAGGGTCTAGTATTGGAAGCATTTATAAATGCCGAAAAATTTCTGGAGATCATTACACAGCCTCGTTGGATAAATACGACTGAATGACTAATACATATTCAATTACTTTCGTGTAACTTGCTTTCAATTTGATGAACTTCAATCAATGGTGGGACCAGAAAATGAAGAAATTATATATGACAACAGAACCCTCATATCCTGCAAATTTTGTCGCATGAGTATGAAAGTCGAATTCTGTTGGGAATTTCATATTTTGCGAAGTTCGTGCAAGCATGAACAAACCTTTAGTCACTTTAATACATATCAAATTTTTTGTATGGCTCAAAAAATTATCCGTCATAAAAATAAAACCAACTCATCCTACTACATTCTAATATTCTTCCTGCAAAATATTTCGAATCGATTCCATCAATAAAACTGTGTCCATTAGAATGAACCCGCCCCATCCGCCCACCTCGAGCCCCGCCCCCTTGACGATGGCTCCGCCCACCCCGACCCCGAAGAGGCGTGCGCCGGCGAATCGCAACCCGCGCCAAGCGCCGAGGGGCGGGATGGCGAGAGGGCAGCCGAGACCGCCCGCCTCGCAGGCGGGGTCATTTCAGACGCCGCCCCCCGGGGTTAATAAGGACCCCTCGCAGTTCGCCATGATGAACCAGCACCAGGGGATGGGCAAGCCGGCGGGGGTGTATCCGCAGCAGCAGCAGCAGCAGATGCAGCAGCAGGGTCAGATGCTGCAGCAACAGCAGTTCCAACAGGTAGGATATTATTACTGCTCTGCAAAATATCATACATCCTTTGAGCAAAATTGAAATCTGGATGGAAATGTCCACGACGAATCAAAAAGTTGAAGTCTTTTCAGTTCTTCAAAACAATTTTTATATTCATATAGCAACAGCAGATACAACAGCAACACCAGATACAGCAACAGTTGCAACAACAGATGGCACAAGAGCAACAATTGAGACAGTCCCAAGCCAACTACGTCATTCAACCTCCAAGGGCCAATCAGAAGCCGCAGCAGCAGAGACCATTGCCTGCTTATATCCCCTCTAGTCAAATCCAGAAAATAATCGGTATGTTGGCAAGAATGAGTTGACTTTGGTTGGTTATTCTGTTTATAAAAATATTTCCACAAAATTTCCACAAAATTTTCAGAAAGTACGCCGATCAGTGAGGAGTTCTCCGACTCGATAAGGATGCTGGTTTTGCTGGAAAATGGCGAACAGCGGTTGATCACCTTCACGTTGCCGAAAGAAGCGTGTACCATACAAGAAATTCTGGAACAGGTGAACGTACCGTTCCAAAGTCACACCAACATTCAAGTGACCGAGGCGAATTCGAACGGGATCAACTACATTGTTACCGTTGGGAATGTTCCACCCCTGGGATACGAGGTAAGACGATATTTAGTTGAGAATACATGTGTTTTGCCATTTGTAAATTATGACATTTCTATTTTTGATCTCATCAGAAGAAATATGAACGCCTAACCTTCAACAAGTTATGGCAAAGGTATTTCAAAATGCCTACTTTTGTGTTTTCAAGGCGCATATCATGATTTTGAGAAGGCAATTTTGATGGACTATCAAATTATTCTCGTATTATTTCTTCTGCATCCTACCAATATTTCAAATTCTTCGATTTCTGGCTCTAGGAAAATAGGACGGTATGCTTCTGAATTTATAATTTTCATTTTTCATTTGAGTTAATCAGAATCCTTAAATTTTCCAAAAATTCACAAATTTTTTCCTTTGAAAAGTTATTTGATATTGCCAGGACTTTCAGGAAGACAAACAAAATCTACGAATTTTATTTTTCCTCGTTCCTTCTAAAATATCTATCAGAAAACTTCTACTTTACTGAATATTGAATTATATCTGTCTAATATTGGGAATACTTATTTTGAAAAAAAAATTGATAGTTATTGTTTGAATATCTAACACTGAAACTACTTTCCTGACTTATAAGAATTATTATGAATTATATCTGTTATGAATCAAACAATATTATATACCAGTGGCGGCTCCTCAGAGGAGGCAACGGAGGCTGGGCCTCCTCAGAGATTTTCCTTAAACTAATATTATCTAAACTTTCTCATTGAGAGGACACCGAAATACATGGATTTTGATTTTATTTCCTGTTTTTAGTTGAATAATTTTGAATTGGCAACAGTGCTTGCCCACGCATCACACGTTGAAGTCTGCAAATCACGCGTAAAATATTCAACTTGGCAACATCTATAAGAGGCTAGACTCCCTCACATTTGAAACCTATGGGCGCAATGCAAATGCCCGAATACGCCCGAATAGCACGTGTTCGTCGTGTCGCTTTGTGAATTGCAGGCAAACGCGAGTGCATTGTTTATGTTTATGTTTATGTTAGGTTAATGGTTAGCGGCTCTATAAATTTCTGAAAAATGAGTGTTTCAAACGATTGCGATTTAGTGGAATACTTTTTGGTGAACCCATTCAGTGCTTTGTCTTTGAAGATAAATTGATTGTGAAAAACAAACGTCCGACACCGGAATTAAAAAATCTGATTGTAACAGGTAACAAACAAAATCGTTCGTTCAATTCTGATAATTATAAAAAATATATCTGGGTGACGGGATCTGAGGTAAGGTATAAGCTATTTTTTTGGTACTGCGTATTATTTTCAACCGATAAGTCATCATGTTGGGGGCGATTAGGATATAATGATTTGAAAAATTTGCCTCGCGGATTGGATAGACACTGCAAATCACAGGAACACATCTCTTCAAGTATTAAGTTCAGGTTAACTGGTAAATAGAATATCATTAAAGCTATTGATTTGGGTGAGTAGAGAGTTGTTTTTCACATTAAATCTCATATCATTTAGCCTCCTCGGTCATGAAAGTCACGAGCCGCCACTGTTATATACCGGGACCGGGTGACACAGGGTATCGGGCCACTCCTGTAATTTCTGCATTCGTGAACGGATTTTCCTGAAATTTGGTACAGGTATATAAGCAACTTTGTTTTTTCAAATGGAACACCCTGTGTATTTTTACATATTCTAGTTCCACAGGTCGCAATTTTCTAAAAACGAGTATTATTTTGGACACCAAATTTTGTCTTATAATTACCAGACATCAAATTCTCATTGAAATGTCAAATCTACGTAAGTGATAAACTAACATTGAATGATATACTGATGGATTTCCGATATTGCATGCTCTATTTGTATAGTCTATGCAGTCAGTTGGGACAGCTAATCAAAGGAATTTCGGCGGCAGCAGCTCTCAGAACTTTTCAAAGGGACCGACGGCCCGCGGTGATATGATGTTCCAACTAACTTTGCAAAGACTATACATCAGGAATTTTGGAAATTTGATTATATGAAGAAATACTTATGCAACGTATCGTTTATTATAGTCATTTTTAGATAATATAAAAATTTATTTATTACGTTAATTGTACTCAATGAGAAAATGAATTTTAGTTAGTCAGTGAATGGGAAAAAAATTACATGATCATTTTTGAGATATTTTTCAAGCATATTTTCATAATTCTCAAGCATATTACTCGAAATGGTTTCGCAAATTTTCTATTATCTTTCCAGATTTTCGAGAAATTTATTTTCAAAAAATGTGATAATTTGTACTACTGACCAGAAATATTCTTATTTGTACTGTAGCTCAAATATCACAGATTGTCTCTTGGATGAGCTATTATGACCTTCATTGTATGAAATCTTATATTGTTTATATACAGAGTGTTTGGCAACAATATTTGATAGATATCATTACAGGAAGACCGAGCACAACACTTTGGTCAACTTGTATTCGCGAGATTCTCGAAGTGGGCGACATCTAGGTTACATAATACGAACTTCAAACTAGGGGAAAACAAACTGTTGTCTATGGATAAAGTGCATAGACCACATTGCATTCAGCTTGCTGTAGCTGTAGTCAAACTTGTCAATGACATAAAGTGTTGGCACTGTTGGTAGTGGTTGAGTTGGTTAATTTTTTTACATTATATTTTTATTAGTCTAGTGAACAGTGAACGGGTGAAGAATTCAAACTAATTATGACATGCAAATCAATTGACTTATAAAAGAACAGCTACAACATGTTTACAATACCCGGATTGTCCTGCTTTGCATGAACAAATACAAATCCATTGTTCTACAGGAGTTCCTCTGGACCCCAACTTCAATTTTAGTTCATGTGGGGAAGATTCCATCGCCGAATTTTGTAAAGTGCAACAATGTGCCTTTTGTTGAAGGCTTCTGCCTCACACAAAATCACATGATTAGCACGGAGAACTGCTTCTCCTTCCACTACTGATCGACTTTTTCCGTCTAAATAGAGCAAACTATCTGCCAATTGAACATCTACAACAGGCATTATCAGCGTTTTCGATCGAATATTGACAATTAATGTCAAGAAATTTGAAAACATCACACTTATCAGTATACTGTACACAAGCTAATGGCACTAATGGGATTGAGTGAGGATTGAGTTTGTTTTCCCCCAGTTTTGACGTGGCTTTGACATGGAACGATGAAAACCACACTGATTCCCGCGAATGGTGTTCGAAATTGAATGACAGCAACTTTCCTTGAAGTTGCAGAAAAAAAAAACGGGAGGGAGAATATACAGGGTGATATACCAAGATTGGTGGAAGTTTTATACAATGAAACTTTGAGAGTTCAAAAATGTATGTGATATATCAATGAATTCTTACTCATCTCGCCTACTCTTACTCATCATTAGAATGTTGCTCAGTGTAGAATATATGAGATGATTCACTATAACCTGCTTATTCCTCTGAATAGAAATTTTGAAGAAGATTACTCTGTTTACTCAAAAAGTGAAACAAGGCAAGAACTGAGTTGTATTAATTGAAAACGATGAAACAATAATAACTGAAGTGAAAAAAAATCATTGTTCAGTATTTGGTAGGTCCCCCTCGCACCCTCAACACTTCTTCACATCTTCGAGGCATGCTTTCTATCAAACTCCCGATTGAACATTTGAAGTTACAAATACGATCGAGATCGAATCCAATTGAAAATATCAATCAACTGATAACTGCCATTGAAGAGGAATGGGAGCGCATTCCAAGGTCTATTAACTTCTATAAGGTTACCTCATAGTATAGCATTATGGTGCGGGGGTGCGCGGAGGGGCGTGACGTCACTGTTTCCCCGCCACGTGATTGTAGATTTCGTTTTGTGTCACTGTCAAATGCATTGAAAACATTTTTGAATTTGAATTTTGAATTCGAAAGAATCGCGAATTTTAGACTTTAGTTGAAAACATGGTGACAAGAAAACTGAAGATATCTCTGAAAGAGGGTGAGAGGTTGTATAATAATAAAATGGAATGAATTGTGATGACTTCTTTATTGATTCTTCATTTTCAAACAATCCAAATTGATACTGAAATGAAACCATTTAGTTAGAATCATTCAATTTATCCAAAAGGAAAGCCTCTTTAGTTAATTGTTTCTTGTTTCTCAGAAATGATGGCCTTATCAATTTCAAGAATTTTTCTTCACATCCCTTGTCAGCATGCCCTTGTCCACCATTATTCCATCATTAGGTTCAGACTTCCCAATAACATTTTCTTTATTACAAAATGCTTTATCAGTAGCTCAACCTCCATATCCTTGAATGCCTACAGTAATCAGTCTTGATGGAGTGATATTGCAATAAGAATTTGACTGAGTTTCTGTAATGTGTCTGTACAACAGGAGCACTGAGGAACATAACATATCTTTCTAGATTTATGTTTTCAGTCTTCTGTATTTGCTGCATATGTTTTGGTAAAACAGTGAACTATCTCGTGGATACAAAAACATATTGGAAATCTTCAAAATTTATGCTGAATGCTGAATTTGTTTGTTTTGTTTATAACCTCCGCCATTTTCATTTTGCCGTTCGACAAAAGACGACTGGGGAAACAGTGACGTCAGGCCAGGTGAATATGAGGCAACCTTATAGAGTTAAATAGCCTTGAGCGCATTCCACATGAATTCATTAACAGTTTGATAGAAAGCAGTGTACCGTTGGAGATATTTTGATTGGATTCATGACTTGAATCACTGACTCAATTCATATGAATTAATTCGTGCCAACCCTGCTACTGACCGCACGACAACTCCCCCAAACAACTCATCATCTCCACCCCTACCAGGAGGACGACCCCCACCAACCGCCCCACCACCCTGACGCCAGCCCTCCTCCGACGCCGCCAGCACCCCCTATGCCCGCCCTGCCGTCGTCCGAGCCGCCCCCGCTGGTCATGCAGCCGCCTCCTCTGTCCGCCCATCTGTCGGGTAGCGGCCCGCCTGCCCTGCTCGACTCGACCACGGCCGCCCCTTCGTCGCCCGAGCCGCCCAAAGAGGCGCCGCGGCTGGTGGCCGGCATGCTGGCGCTGTGCGGTGCTTGCGGGTACTTGTCCGAGGATTTCAATAAGTGCATCAGGTAATGGACGGAGAGTTGGGGTATTTTCGAAATTATTTCGAAAATGATGATTTTGGAAAATAATTTCGGAAATAGATGTTTTTGTTTTGAAATAATTTCGAGCAAATAAAATTTGCGTTTGAAGATATTGATCTTGACTTGATCTTGACTTCTACGTCAAAATGATCAAGAGTTGAATAATCCGAATTTTACATATCGCTGCTCTAAATCAATACTATACTTTGAGATACAAGTCAGAATTATAAGATCCAAAATTCTCTCATGTATCTCAGAATCCTGACTTAAAACTCAAATTTCTTACTCAATACTCATAGTTCTGACCTGTAACTCAAATTTCTTACTTGTTAATCATGTTTCTGACATGTTACTCATTATTGTGATTCAATTCATAAAGATGCTAAGGAATAAGAAAACAAAGGGAATTAACAAAAATAAATAAAATATATTTCAATCAGGTGCAACAGAAAATTGCCAGACAATGTGAAGTCAATTTCTGCTACTATCAAAGCAAACAACGGGCAGACCAAGGAGATTATGGCAAGGCAACAGGTTTTGCAGCAAAAGCCTCAGTTACCCATAAAGAGCAGTCTTGGTAAGTAACATTACCTTTTTAATTCTCTTCAGTATCATTCATTACTATTCTTGCTGTATTTCATGTATTATGAAATGTTCCTCCTATTTTGCAGTTCCAAAACCACCTAGTCCTGTCAAAAAGAAGCCGATGAAAAAACAATCTGAGCAAGATAGCGTCCATGTCATTAGCTCTGATGAAGAAGAAGAAGAAGATTCTTCAAAATTGGTGAGCTATTAACAAATATCCACTTGACAATATTTTTTTTTTGTAAGGTGATTTCTATGTTAATTTTTTTTTCAGACTGAAAATATCCTGCAAAAACTAGGCGCATCTGTAACCATAAGTCCGGTAACCAAAGAACCCTCTATGAATGACCTCCAACGACACTCTTCTCAAAATTCTACAGGTAAGTTGAACCTTTTCAAATTAATAGAAATATTCTTGAATTATGATTCGTAATAATCCGTGTGTTTTTTTCGTTAATTTATTTGTGAATAATTTTTTTAGCCTCTATTTCGGACCAGCCGAATGACAGTATCAGGATGAAATTGAAATGTCGCACAGTCAGAATTGGATCATACAGATGTATTCCTATAGAAGAGGTAATTATGGAATTTATACTTATACACTTATAAAAATTTTCCTATGTGATACGGATTTGCGGTTAAAAATAATTCTCCGCATTTTTAGCTGATTTATTCCAGATTAAAACTCCAGTGTGAATCGAAAAAAAAATTATCTCGTAGCAATGCTTATGTCACTAACCGTTCTTGGCCCATTGTTGCCCTAAGCTACGTTTTCAGCCTCTTAAGGGTTGAAAAACCTATTTCTGAGCTTGCTACATTCACAGGCAAGACATAGATTTAATATAGAGCTAGGTATACATTTGGATAAGTATCCTTATCGCAAATCTGTAAAGCATATGATGCCGAAGTAGACAAATTTCCATCAGTGGCATCATCCCATTTTCTAAACCAAAGATCTAACTCGGTATTTAAGAGAGTTAATAGGAAATCTTTACCTTTGTGAAATTTGATAAATATTCTGCTAAGTTTCGTTTTATTGAGGAATAGTCCGCATTGATGACTGATTTGATGATTGATGGAATTAAACTATTAATGTTGAGAATCGTGTACAACTCATTATGAAATCTACATTTATTATTCTTCGAGGCATCATCAGATTCAATTTTGATTTTTTGTGAAGGTTTTCTATGCATTTAAGGAGATAAGATACTCCCACCTCCCACCCCACTATGGATAATTTTGGAAACAATGTTGTGGTGTGTTGTGTGATACAGCTATGTCGGATTTGCGTTCGTTAAGTATTGAATTTAATGAAAACATATGTTAATTTAATAACCCCATATTTTGTTGATGGAATTTTTCGAGCCATATATGTTCATGTATACTATAACCATCTATAACATAGTAAAGAGACACAACTCTTCTCAATAGCTCACATGCATGGGCTCCAGCATACTAGAAAATCATGTTTTTAAATAAATATCAAACTTCATTTGTATTTGAAAAAGGTTTAGAGAAGATAAATAAAGGTGTATTTACTGTATTTATTAAAGTTCTCGACGCCCTTGCCTTTAGGACATCCATGATCTCGTTATCAGATGACGGTCGAAATTCAAAGCCGGCTTTGGACTATAACGAATGCCAACCATTTACTGGTTCTCCCTCTTCCAGATTCAAATCGATTCCGCGTACACCGTCATCCAAGTGCCCCATCCGACCAAGGACAAGGACATCAGGACGATCAGACTGGAGAAAGCGGGCGTGGTCAAGGTGCTGGCGAGCTTCAACAGCTCCCTGCCGGTGGTCTTCTTCTACCTCAGCCCCGGCGTGGCGGAGAGGATACGCGCCGACCTCGACATGACCGCCGGCGGACCGTACTACCTTGATCCGTTGGCGCTCGACGAGGAGTCCCAGAGGTAGGAATGATGATGATGATGTATTTGAAAAAAAAAACGATAAATTTTCCACTATTGATGACGAATTTATTGAAGATGTTCTGAAAGATAGGTCCCTATAGGTCAGATATATGACATCGTGAGCAGCTGAATTTTTCAAACTGAACCTCTTTGAATCATGAAAACCCATATACTTCAACTGAATATCATTTATTTCATGAACTACGTCTATATCATGGTATTTACACAACGCTTCGTAGCTGAATTTCTGCTAGGTTGCACGTCCGATTAGAATAATTCTAGTAGGCTCCGCCCTTTGCTACATTTCCTAGCTGAAATTTCTCATAGGCTCCACCTCCGAGCAGAATTCTTGTAGGCTCCGCCCCTCACTACGTTGCTTAGCTGAAAGTTCTTAAATACTCCACCTCCGAGCCGAATTCTTTTAGGCTCCACCCCTGCCAGGAGTTACTGGCAGGCTCCACCTCCAAGTGTTTCTCGCTATTAAAATACAAAGACAAGTCCGGTGTGGTGAATGTGCTGGCGAGCTTCAACGGCTTCCTGCCGGTGGTCTTCTTCCTCGGCTCAGATATAATGCAATGACATCGCGAGTAGAATTCTAGTAGGCTCCGCCCCTTGCTACATCTCCGAGCAAAATTCTCGTAGGCTCTTCTCCTCGTTACGTTATCCGGCTGAAATTTCTCATAGGCTCCACCTCCCAGCAGAATTCTTGTAGGCTCCGCCCCTCGCTACGTTGTTTAGCTGAAAGTTCTTGAATACTCCACCTCGGAGCAGAATTCTTCTAGGCTCCGCCCCTGCCAGGATTTACTTGCATGCTCCACCTCCAAGTGTTTTTCTCCTCTATTAAAATATAATGACAAGTCCGGCGTGGTGAATGTACTGGAGAGCTTCTCTGCCGTAGATAAGTATTCACTAAGTGATTATTAAAGGCCGATTTCAGTGCCTCGAAAACGATTTTTATCACAAACTCAACACTTCGCAGTTATTTTCATAAAAATAGACAATTTTTGCCAAAAAAAATCTATAGCCACTCTTCAAAAATGTCCATTTTCGAAAAACATCTTGTAACTCCGAAACGAAGCCAGATATCGATATGCGAATTTCACCATTGAGTTCTTCAAGAGAATCGACAAAAATGGGACCAAAATGAGAGGTACTTATCAATCTATAAGGACAGAAAGTGGAGGATAAAACTGCTGACGTGAGGATCAGATTTTAAGTTAGATATTTTCGTAAATAATTATTTGATCATAATAAAATATTAAAAATCATCAATTGTTGATAATACCACAGTATAATACCGTCAACTTCGATTTATTCCTTTATAATGTGGTAAAAATATAGCAAAGCATAATGTCAGTAACTTTGAGGAACAGGAAAGAGCCATGGCAGATGATAATGAAATGAACTGCCATAATGATTTCATTCAGTTCAGTGGAATCTCGAAACTTGCACTCTTTAATCCAACATTATTGCTTTAGATCTTGGTATTGAATATTGAATATAGGTCAGGGTTAACCTAAGTATATGTATTCTTTTTCAATGTGGTGAAAGGAATCTACTCAAATCTGTTTAGCGTGATAGGACTGCACTACACTACTTGTCATTTACTGATTCAAACTTGGTTTACTTTAAGGAAATTTCCATTATATTATGCTTGTTGCTGGATGATTGATAACTCCATTGATAATGTGAATAAGTGTGTACCTTTGTGCAGGTCAATATATAAACAAGCAAATTTAAAATTCAACTTATGAAAAGAGGATTCCTGTCTATTCTCTTCTCCGCAAACACTGCATTTCGATCAGTTCAGTCAGTTCAGTCTATGAAAAATAAACGAAAACACAAAAGCATTGTACAACTAAAAACGCGAATATTCGAATTTCAATCACAATCAATCTCATACGCTCTAAAACCAATTTAAAATTCGTAGCCATATTGGTTTAACAAGCTTCGTAATATTTTTCCCTACGTCGGCATCAACGCCTATTGGTCGATATCGTTATCTATAGAGACAGAAGTTGGTCCCACTTTGAGGACAGCTATGCTTCATATAAGAGTAGTAGATATATGGACTTTCCCTTTAAAAGTGTCCAATTTGGCCCACCCTGTACAACCTCATTGATGCTCTATCGTATAAATGATCGATCTCTTCGTCCGCAGGCGCATAACTCTGCTGCCCGACGACATCGATGACGCCGACAAGAACCTGATGCAGCTGATCTTCGGCAGCAGCCTCGAGGAGCTCAACGTCAAAGAGGCTAACGACATCCTCATCAAGACGTGCCCCAAGGACCTGGCAAAGGCAGCGCTGGGATTCGGGTGAGTCGCTTGTTGTTTCGCCCCAGGCGAATTGGAGACATGAGCAATGAACTCAATGTAAACTTCACAAACGATAAGATTTCCACAAAATTCTTAAACACACAACATGTTTCGCTAACACAGTAGCTTAGTCTGGTGATATACTGGTGCAATGAACTAAACCGACGATGGCTTGCTTAACTCTTATATATCCTACTTTCCCAACTTGAAGGATTAGTTACCTGTGGACAGGATCGGTAAACCTTCGGGAATTAGGCACAATATCTACATTTTCAATTTTTCATCAACCTTCCCACACTATTCGCGAGATTCACGAAGTGGGCGACATCTAGGTTACATAATACGAACTTCAAACTGGGGGAAAACAAACTGTTGTCTATGGATAAAGAGCATTCAGCTTGCTGTTGCTGTAGTCAAACTTGTCAATGACATAAAGTGTTGGCACTGTTGGTAGTGATGATGGTTGAGTTGGTATATTTTCGTACATTTTTATTAGTTAAGTGAACAGTGAACGGGTGAAGAATTGGAGATAGTTCAAACAATTCGAACTAATTATGACGAGCAAATCAATTGACATATAAAGCAACTACAGCTCCAACATGTTCACAATACCCAGATTGTCCTGCTTTGCATGAACAAATACAAATCCATTGTTCTACAGGAGTTCCTCTGGATCCCAACTTCAATTTTACTTCATGTGGGGAAGATTTCATCGCCGAAGTTTGTAGACTAAGTGCAAAATTGTGCCTTCTGTTGAAGTCTTCTGCCTCACACAAAATCACATGATTAGCATGGAGAACTGCTTCTCCTTCCACTACTGGTCGGCTTTCTCCACCTAAATAGAGCAAAATATCTGCCAAAAGAACATCTACAACAAGCATTATTAGCGTTATCGATCGAATATTGACAATTAATGTCAAGAAATTTCAAAACTTATCACTCTTATCAGTACACAGTACACAAGTTAATGGCTCTAATGGGATCGAGTGAGGATTGAGTTTGTTTTCCCCCAGTTTTGACGTGGCTTTGACATGGAACGATAAAAACTGAGCGCCACCTGGTAACATTGATTCCCGCGAATTCATAATAATTCAACACACCCTTATCAACATAAAATTGCAGCATATAATAGTATGATACACAGGCTAGTGAATGTCCCTCTTTCAGAAGTAAAACTTCATAATAAAGCTATTCAAGAAGTTTATCCTACCATCAAGAATAATAATCAAAATCATAGAACTTTAACCTATTTCGGATCATCAACTGAAAAATTAGCTTCATTTCTACATAAACAGGAATTAAAAGTGGCATATAAAACAAATAATACGTTGGGACGGTTCATCAAGAATAATAAGGACGAAACTTCTGAATTCGAAATATCAGGGGTATACAAACTCAACTGTGGATCTTGTCCTAAGGTATATATCGGTCAGACAGGTCGTACGTTTAATCAGCGCATTCATGAACATGAGATGAAATTTTTGAAAAAGAAAACAAATTCAACATACGCCAACCATATATTAGAAGAAAACCATAGTTTTGATGATAATTTCGAAATTCTACAAGTAGAAAATAAAGGGAGGAAACTCAATCATTTTGAATCATTAGAAATCAAAAATTTTGATTTTACTTAACGATCAATTAGACCTCAATAGTTCACCACTGTTGAATTTGTTTTCTTAATAGGTAATAATATTTATTTGCTATCAACCCTTTCAAGTTAATCCGGTTACCGTAATTTAATGTAGATATTGTGCCTAATTTCCGAAAATGGAGGTTTATCGATCCTGTTCACAGGTAACTGATCCTTCAAGTTGTGAAAGTAGGATATATAAAAGTTGAGCAAGCCAACGTTGGTTTAGTTCATTGTACCTGTATATCACCTGAAGAAGCTACTGTGTTAGCTGTGTTAGTTAGAATTTTATGGAAATCTTATCGTTTGTGGAGTATTTAAATTTGCCATGGATTTCCATTAAGTAACGGTCGAGTCAATTCAAAACTCAATATAAACAACTGGAAGGGAGACTGTCGTTTTCTCGAATAGCACAGTGTGTCACGGGCAGCTGCAACAGAGATTTGTTTGTGTTACGGTAACCTGTCTCTTTTTCCCTCGTGTTGTTTAATGGCGGATTGGTGTATAATTTTCTTTTATACAATGATTGGAGTACTTGAGATCTTTTTTTTTTTTCATCTAAACAGGCGAAAAAGTGAAGACAGAACTTAATGGTTTTTTCTTATGTGAAATATCGCTAAATTTGGCGTGTTTTGTTTCTTCAAAAGGATTGAATTTGTTGGTGTGAATTGATTATTGTTGAAAAGATTTGTGGTTTCGAATTAATAAACAATGGTTATTTATATTGTGTTGCCTGTGGATGCACAACAAGCAAGACAAACAGAAATTGTCCTCCATGATGGGTAAGTTGAAAATTGTTTTGATCCTTAGAAAATCTATAATAATTTATTTTCAGGATGTGTCTGTGGATATTGGATTCTAGGGAAAATAGTTTTCATATGGACATTGATTTGCTTACACCTTCCAGCTCCCATGTAAGTTTCAAAGTTTATTTATGAAGGTCTTTTCTATTGCAAAGAAAAGTGAAAACACTGAAACAGAAAGTAAAAAGGAGAATGACAATCTTGATGAGGTACTAAAAAAACATTTTGAAGGTAAAAAATATATGTTCACATTTTTGAACTCATAATATTGTCTTTCAGATTTGCCTTTGAAGCTTCTCCTTCTCCAGAAAGGAACAAATGAAGGTGTACATTCTGGGCTACGCCACAGTATATTATCCTTTCATCTTGTGAAAGGATAATATACTGTGGCAAGGCAGATATTCATCATTGATGAAAAAATTCGTCCTAACATCGTACTTTTATTCACTTTTTATTCATCTTCTAATAGTGAATTGTTTACTCATAAAAACTAGGCTTAAAATAGACCTTGGGTACTCGATACCATTCAAGAACCTCTTTTCAAATGTTTTCTATCGTTTTTCTATTTCTTCTGATAGTACTGAGACATTGAGCTTCGCTCACCCTGTACTATATATTGTGACATTTGAATGAGAATATATAATTTCAATTTTGTATTCATTTACCTTCCTAATCCTGTAAGAATATAAATGGAATTTCACTTTTCTATCAATTATTATTCTAAAACAATAATTGATTGCAAAATTATCCTTTGTCCTAAATGAATATTTATACTTAATCACATATACCCTTAAATAAAAGCGAAAAACAAGAAAATATTTCAACTAATGCGAGCGCTTCCCAATAGCCAACATAAGATAGAAAGAGATAGGTACCCGTAACCACTGCGGGTTGTTTGAACAATATTTTTCCCTCACTTGTCGTTCACAGGGGATCCCTTCCAGGGGCCTTATTTTTGAATCGAGGAGAGAACAGTGGGAGTGTTCCTCACTTGAGTAACAAAATATTTCGTTCCCCGCTGCTTCTCGATGGATAGCAAGAGAAACAGGTACTCTGTTCCGTTTTCTCTCATAATCCACCGAATAAAGCAGTGGAAAGTGTATTGTTATGGGTCCAAAATAAGTCTAGTTTGATAACAAACGTATATTCCTAATCACGATAATTGACAACCAAAAAACATGACAATTCGTGTCCCTCTTGACAGTCCTCTCCTACATCTCTGTAGTGGGTGATTCATAACTTTACATCTTTTCCTCAAAGATTCATCCGACATATAGGATTTCTCGTTCTTTGACTTCTTCTTAGAACTACAGTATTTTGCTCATTCTCCAGTTGCTTGATTTGATCTTGATCAGTATCATGATTTGAACAACCTGGTGTAACCACACAATCTGGAGTTGAAGGCATGATTTCATCTTGTATATTCCTAGATAACGGTTGTAGGAATTTTCGATTTCTTCTGAATTGTCCATCAGAAGTATCAACAATATATGAACGAGGTGTCTCATGGTTTCGTGAAACAATTCCGTGTTCATATCGATCGGATATGATTACTTCTTGACCAACAGATAACTGTGTTTGAGACTTAGCAGCATGGCGTTTATCAAAATTATGTTTGTTCCTATTCCTTATTTGTTCTTCTTTCTCCCGGATAACATTTTGATTCAGAAATTTGGGCTGAAGAGAATCCGACGGAATAGGCACAACTCCTCTTATTTTCCTTCCCATCAACAACTCGGCAGGACTATAACCATTTTCGAGAGGTGTAGATCGTAGAGCAATCAACATCTTGTAAGGATCTTCAGATTTATTCAGATGGGATTTGATATTTTTCACCTGAGATTCAATGAAACCATTACTTTGTGGAAAAAATGGACTCGAAGTAATAAGCTGAAATCCATAATCTCTTGCAAATCTTTGGAATTTCACATCGATAAACTGAGAAGCATAACACCATGGGTAGCCAAGATAGATTTCATGTGAGCAATTATACAATCGGTAGTTAATCGTTTCATTTTACAAATAACAGGGAATCTTGAATAATAATCTGCCATTATAATAAACCATGACTTCTCGTATTTAAATAAATCAATTCCAACAATTTGCCAAGGTCTCGCAGGAAACGGCGTAGGCAACAAGGGTTCGGTGTTGTTGGAACGATACATCAAACATCTCGAACAATTTTTAACCAACTTTTCAATCTGCATTGATAGTTTTGGCCACCAAACAGCTTGTTTGGCTAGGGCTCGACATTTTGTCACTCCTTGATGACCTTCATGTAATTTATCGAGAATTTCACACCTCATTCCGCTTGGGATGATAATTCTCGACACTTTCAATAGTAAATCATCTTGGAGAGATATGTCATCTCGATATTGCCAATAAGGGATACATTCTTCTTTCAAGTCAAAGAACGAGAAATCCTATATGTCGGATGAATCTTTGAGAGAAAGATGTAGAGTTATGAATCACCCACTACAGAGATGTAGAAGAGGACTGTCAAGGGGGACACGAATTGTCATGTTTTTGGTTGTCAATTATCGTGATTAGAAATATACGTTTGT